ACAACTAAGGTATCGGTACCATGTAATTGAATTCTTTATCTAAACATGAATTATGGTACTGATACCAATGTAGTATCGATACATTTAAAAACAAGAGGTTTATACAAGTATCGATATGAGTTGTGTATCGGTACCTAGTAAATCATATTGGGTCTTGAGTACTATTTTAGTTATTTATCAAATCTACGGAATCAAATCACCACATATTATTAGGTAGAATTTGAATTTAATGTTGCACTTTCGGAATCAACACAAAAAGAATCATAACATGTATAATCATACTAGACTATATGTCATGCTTCGAAAAATCTAATACACAATCATTATTCAGCATTGAAGAAACTATATAGAAAATTCGTAACTTCTTAATCATGTACATGCAGTTTATGTAGATCGAAAAGATCAACTTCATTGTGGTTTCTTGCGATAAGTTTTGCCAAAATTCTTAGTTGTTCAACTCTCATTTGTTGAGTCTACACAATAAATTTATATTGTCATTGGATATCACACAATAATTAAATAAAACTATAGGGTATTCTTTACCGTGAAACTAATCTTCGACCAATCGCCTTTGCTATTGACTTCTATATACTTCAATAAGTACATGTCACAATCATTTCTAAATCCAATATCAAATAAAATAATTTATCACAAAGAAATACATAGTCCAAAAAATAATATCTTTAATTTTAAATGTAAATGACGTACATATTTGGCTGCTTCGGTAATCCAAGAAAATAGATTGGAAATTTTGAAACATTTTCAAATAATATACCCAAATGAGCATGACTCTCATAGATACGCGAAACCTTACTCAACTGTTACAATAAGTCAAAATTTATAAATTTATATTTGAAAACTACACGAATTCTTATAGTTCGTATAAAAGAATAAAGAACTTACAATATTTTTACGAACGCCATTGATAATAAGAGAGACCAAAATGTAAGTATGCCCCTCCACAACATCAACAACTAATAAAAATAAATGATTGTTGACTTCGTCATGTAAATGTACATATACCTGCAAAATCATGTGAGGTAAAAATCACAGTCAACCACATACATGTAAATAATAAATTTTAAATATAAATATACATGTTCAACATGACTACTATCAATAGGCATAAAGTCCTCTATCAATCGAGTATGAAATTTGAAAAGGATAGTATTTCTTCCTGTCTTTTGAGCATGCGTGACATATTTAGTAAGGATACTTTAAGACAAACAATAAATATAACTATCAAGAAATCATAAACTTTAAATTATTCAATCTTTATCCCATAAATTATTTTTACCTGAAATGAAAAAGGCAAATATAACTTCTTTCGCGTATGTACTTCTCTCAAGTACAAAATGTACATATACATATCGATAAACTATTAAATATTTGAAAATAATACAAACAATTATATTAAAAATAAGCAAAATAATTAATATTGATCATGTAAAACATTAAAAAATTTAAATTGTAATAACCAACCAAATAACCATATTTCTGGAAAAACTGTATGAACATTTGAGATATCCAAATAATTACTCTTGGCCATGTAAACATTGATGAATGTATCATTCCAAATGGCAACATTTGTACAAATTATGCGTTCTTCAGGTGTTAAAAACTCCAAATATTGTATGTACGCATCACTTATCGTATTGGTTTTTTTTTCATATTTCGATAACAAATCAAATGCCTTATACTTTTACTACAAGAAAAACATAACTCTTACAAACATTTTTATAGCATTAAATTCAAACTTTAACATGAAATATAACCAATAAAGAATGATATATACATACATTGGTATTCGCTTTAGATGTTCTAGCTCATTTTTTCATTGTCACGTCTTTTGACTTCAGATCATCAATAAAATATAACCGTGCGGTCAAACGTCTCAAACATTTTCTCTGTTGTGACTCATTCATCTTTGACAAAGTCGTAGGATTGTTAGACATTTTAGGTCCAATTTTTTTAACCATTAGAGTTTCCTTCAACATAACTAATTGACTAAGAAATCGATTGAGACTAAATTTAAAGTTAAAGATCTCAACTGGGATTTTTGGAAAACCATCACTATTAGTCTTGCAGTTGTCTTCAGATTTAACATTAAGTTTCCATTTGCCACTACATTCTAATGAGGGAGAAGGATAATCACAATCACAATTAATAAAAGGAGACAAACTTGGTTTTTTAATTCCACTATTGGTTTGATCATTCAATGGTGCAACACTTATTCATTCTTCCATGTTTGATTTATTTTTAAAACTCTCATATTTCAATAGAACACTATGTAAATCTGTCACTCTGATATATTATTTAAAGCATCATCCTTTAATGATCGAATATGCATACCTTCTCCTTTTACTAAATCACCATCATGTATTGAACTTTTAACATTACTCGGTGTTAATATGCTCACTAATTTCCCAAATTGGTCATTTAATATTTCAAATTGTCCTTTTAAATTTTTGAATTGGTCATGCATTATAGCAAATTCCTTTTCAATTTTTTGCACAGATCGAATGAGTGTCTCAAACTTGTGATAACTTAGAAAAGAACTTCTAATCTTATTCTCATGAACAACTTCAATTTTTTCCTATATGTATATAAAACAATAATCTTAAAAAAATAAAAAATATACCGAAAAACAAATGCATCACAAGTATTAAAAATCCAGTTACTTATAATGAATGTACCTCGTTTTTAATTTTCTCTAAACTCATGTCGATATGACGTTTACACTCCATCATCTTAACTTGTTTTAAGTGCGTTAAGTTTAGATCCATCATCTACGTAAAAAATAAATAAAGTATAAGGCTGAACAAACAAATCAAGCATACCGTACAAATACTTTACATGAGTGTATCGGTACACGAAGACATATTCAGAAAAACAATAAAGAATTGTAGTACCGATACATTACAAGTATTGATACATGGTTGCTCGAGTACCGATACACTGGCAGTGTGTACCGTACACCCTTCACGATTTGAAAAATGGGAATCGGGAATTGAATTGAAAAAATGATTTCAACGTAAAAATTAAGGTTAAATTGTTCTAAATGGGGTCCTAGGAAGGGAATTTTGGAAATCAATTAAGGAATTCATGTTATACAATTGGAGGAATTTTAAAAATAGGGTTAAGGTTAGGGTTTAGAAAATTTGGGATTGGGGAAAACAATGAGAGGGGAAACTCCCATATCGACAACCAGTCAGCCACCACCCTCCGATGACGGCTTGGACAAAACACCAAGTTTGAATAAAAATAAATTATTCTAGCTTACCTCAACGGGTTGGTTGCGCAAATGACGGTGAACGACTTCTATGTTAGTAGGGATGAACGAAAATGATTCAATCGAAAGAGGAAGACGAAACCATCGACGACGACGGCGGCGACGACGATGAGAAAATCACAAATTTTAAAAAATAGAGTTTTGTAATTAGGGATTACAATTTGAACTAATTATACAAAAAATATTTAAAAACAATTTAATTGAAAATTATGATTTATTTAAAATTATATTTTAATTAAAATATAATTATACATTAAGTACCTTGTAATATTATCATTTTACAATTTAATTTATCGGAACTCATCGTTATTGGTTCTCATCGATGCTCATCGACCACACAAGAATAATCCAATTTATCATGTGTTTTGTAATAAGTTGAAAGGGTTCCATCATCTAGCAACAAATTTCAAATAGAATGACTTGTCTTTAATAAATCAGTAAATTTGTAAGAAAAGCAAATAATAAATGACATTCAATTGAAATCATGACACCATATTCTCTTAATGAATTTAGGTATGGAAACACCTTCTAAATGAGAGAAACCTTATTCTCTTGTAGCTCTCAGCTTCTTCTAATATAGCCTCTTACCATTCTTACCAACTTCTTCAATATTAAAAAAATTTATGAAACATAAATATTTGCCTTTTTTTTTATTTGTTTGGTTTAAATATTGAGTGCATTTTGATGGAATCAAATTAAAAAAAGTGGCTTTTATTGTGTCATCTACAGCCCTGTTTGTGGGAGAGGTGGCGTGCAATAAGAATAACATGAAAGAAGAAAATGAAATTGGCATAGGAAAAAGGTAAGCCGAGTTTTCAATTGTTTGAGGATGAAGGTGGGGGTGTGATTGCCCTGTCTTTTTCACATTTTTGAGTTGCAGATGGAGGGATTCTTCTTCCTTCTTGGATTGGGCCCTTCTTTCTTTCTTTCTTTTTGAATTTTCTTTTTCCTTTAAGTTCCCTCCCTAAAGCTTATTAATCAGTAGAAATGAAACAAATTTAAAACAAACCCAAGCAGCAGCAGTGAAACTGAAATCTGAATCCCTTCTTCTTCTTCTTCTTCTTCTGCTTACTTTCTCATTAATTTCTATCTACTTTCACAGAAAAGCTCAAGCAAAAAGGTAAAATATGAACAGACCTCTCGAACTATTGTCTTCTTTGTAGGTTTTTGGTTTTCGGTAAAAATGTAGATTACTCATTTCGATATTTTTTTAATGTTTCCGATCTAAAGGTAACAAATTCGATTATGCAGTCGTTGTAGACGGTTAAAATAATGAAATGGGGATGAGATCCACGGCACTGTTGATCAGAAAATTTTCTTTTTAAGAAGATTTGAATGTTGGCTATAGCCATTGCAAGGGTCTTGTCTTCAGTTTCATTTCCACCATGACTACCAAACGAGCTTACAAGCTACGTATCCTTCTTTTAGGGTTTTTATGAAACTATGTTAATATTGATCTGGTTTTTCATTACAGTTGCCCCCATCACTTCAAACAGATCTTTTTCTTTAAGAATTATTTGTACCCAGGGTTGCCTTAATAATTATGAACAGAGGAATTTGTGGCACACTCTTCAACTGTGAATTGCCTGAAGATTGGAAGGAAAACGTCTAGGGTTCTTGTGACTGGAGGAGAAGATCACAAGGTTAATCTCTGGGCTATTGGTAAACTCAACTCTATACTGGTCAGTTCTCGCTCTATATTCGCACAATGCATTTCCTTTCAAATACTCTTCTTTTGCAATATCATCTATATGTCACTTATTTACTGTAATTAGTAGGATATAGCATATAGTAGGATTAAACAATTGTAATTATGATAAAATTTCGATTTGGAGACCAATAAATTCTTATTCCGTACAATTTTTATGCGAACCATTATATCAGAGTTTGTCTGGACACACGAATAGATTCAGTGAGCTTTGATTCTTCAGAAGTCTTGGTAGCTGCAGGTGCTGCAAGTGGTACCATCAAGCTTTGGGATTTGGAGGAGGCAAAAAGTATGCTTGTCCAGTTTCATAGACCATTTCCCCCCCCAAAAAAAAAATAATCTAAATATACATGCTGTTGTATGTTAAATACCGGTCTTAAATATGTGTCACTTGATTATCTATTTTTGATATATTTTTGGCAATCTGTACTTTTTTAGTTGTTCGGACTTTGACTGGCCATAGATCCAATTGCATCTCTGTGGACTTCCATCCCTTTGGTGAGTTTTTTGCATCTGGTTCTCTTGATACGAATCTCAAGGTATGGGATATCAGAAAGAAAGGGTGTATCCATACATACAAGGGCCATAGTCGAGGAGTCAATGCAATCAGGTTTACACCAAATGGCCGATGGGTTGTATCTGGCAGTGAGGACAACATTGTGAAGGTCAGAATTTGCTGTAATTTAGTTCATGATGCCAGACATTTTGTACGAATGTTATCCTTTGATTGTACCCATGTTTTTTTTTCTTTTGGGATTTGTGTGGGCATTGTAGGGTGAATAAACATAGAAGGTTTTCAATTCTTTTAGGTAGTGTTTCATGGCCTTGCTCGTATTTCGTGAGAACTGGAATCGAGATTTTGGAGTTTGGAGTGAGGCTATGCAATGCTGAGGGTGTTGGATGAACTTACATGTCTTCTTTATTTCACATTGTTTTTAATTATCCGAGTGCTGCAACTTCGAAACTTTAGCTATTCTGTTATATATCAATGAGTTGCTCCATAGGTGCAGTTCTTTGGCATTCTCACATAGGAATTTGATTTCTGCAAGACATTTCATTGTATAAATGGCAAAAAGGGTCAGATGGGCGTATGCATTGCCAGATTTATGTTTTCTTTGATAAAAATGTTTTCACCTTATGAACAAATTTAAATGCACATTTATACGTGGATTGTATACACATTTTAGCTTTTGAGTTCAGATGTTGATTCAGGATAACTTTACAATAATCTTTTTCATGTTTTTTATATGTTACAGGTTTGGGATTTGACTGCTGGAAAATTGTTGCATGATTTCAAGTATCATGAAGGCCAAATTCAGTGCTTAGATTTCCATCCCAATGAGTTTCTACTTGCTACAGGTTGGTTATTACCTTCTATGAAAGAGTTCTTGCTTATTCCTCATTTGAGAAATCTATAATGTCCTAAATTAAGTTCTATACAAATATCTATTATATTTTGTGAGGGAATTGTAGATCCTTCGTGTGTGCTCTGATTTTTATTATACGTTCTCTTGCCTTCACAGGTTCAGCTGATCGGACTGTTAAATTTTGGGACCTTGAAACCTTTGAGCTTATTGGTTCAACTGGGCCTGAGGTACTTTAGCTGGTCTTTGGTTTTGTAGTTGGTTATCTTAGTAAACTTAGAGATTCTATTGAAGATCATAAGATCTATTTTCCATACTGAGATCACAGTATCTTTTATTTACCTGTTTTTATGGTGGGGTTTGTACATGATTTCCTCCCTCTATATTGTAGACTACTGGAATCCATTGTTTGACCTTCAATCCTGATGGGAGGACTGTACTCTGTGGATTGCATGAAAGTCTAAAGGTGAGGTCTTTTACATTTCAATTTTCACCAATCCATAATGATTTACGAGCGAGTGTTCTATGCTATTACAATGCTATTACATTTTTACTTTATTTTTATTTGCAATTTTTAGGTTTTCTCATGGGAACCAATAAGATGTCATGATGGTGTGGATGTGGGGTGGTCTAGATTGTCAGATCTTAATGTTCATGAAGGGAAGCTTCCTGGCTTCTCATATAATCAAAGCTGTGTTGGAGTTTGGGTTGTAGACATCTCGGTATTGCTCAGTTTTCTACACTTTTATCTGTCCATCTTTCTTTATTGGCAGTTATTATGTTAAAGACTTTAACATTAAATTTTGGTCTTTGGTACAGCGAATAGAGCCTTTTCTATTCCTAATGCTAATAACGTGAATGGTCATTCTGAACCTAAATCTTGTTCCGGTGGAACCCTCTCTGTACTGAATGAGAACACAACAAAAGCTAATATGGGAAGGTTATCAGTTTCACAAAATCCTGATGCTTTAGTGAAGGAAACAAAATCCTTGGGAAGGTTATCCATTTCACAAAACTCAGATCCTGTTAAGGAGTCCAAAAATTTGGCATGTATGTTATATTTTACTTCGATTTTGTTGGGGTTTAGCACATTCACATTACTTTATGTTAACTAGTTTTCATTTATAAAGTTTACTCTTTAAAAAGAACTAAAATTAGTCGAAAAAGATCTCAGGAAAGATGAGCAATCCATCACTTTGAACTCAACTACACAATTCTTTTTGAGAAATCAAAAACTAAAGGGAAAAAGTGGGAAAATGGGTAGATAGAACATGTATGGTAGAAATGTGCAAAAATATTTTTTACTTGTTTATTTATTTTATGGTGTTGCTTTAGTAAGCAGGCAGTAGTAATATGTCAACTTATGAAATAAGAGGGAAAAAAGAAGAAAAAAATTAGGAAAATGATTAATTGATAATTAAAGAAGGCATAAATGCTCAGCCAAGATAGGTGTGTTGGCTCTGGTAAGAGTGAATCAAACTCGGTTGAGTTGCCTCCGAACTACTTGGATGAAAATTGTATGTTCTTAAAATTTTTAATTCACTGTTTAATTTTAGGGTTTTTGGTTCGTCACAATTTTTTGGTCTGTTTTGGGTGAGAGGGGTTACTACTGAATTTCAAAAGGCATCTTTGGGAGGTTTTTTCTTATTCGTGCGCCGACCAGCCAGATTCCGGTCATCAGAATCTTATTGTGTGATAATTTTTCTATTTTTCCTTTTCCAATAGAAATATGAATGCAAAAAAATAAAAATGAAATGAGAATAAAGAGAAAAAAGAAAAAAGTTCAAGCAGACTGTTATCTGTTCCTCAGCATTTCTCAAGTTAAAATGTCTATGTATTCATGCTGAACCAGAGCACTTCGTTTCAGATGATTCACAGGTGCAAAAAACACATAGAGACACATAACCTTTAGAAAGCCAAAAAGGTGGTATATCTCTCCATAGCAGGTTGATATAGTGCACAATTCCGTAAAGTCTGAACTCACTACCTTGGTCAATACTTCAGGAAGAACACACCCAGTAGTTATAAATTGGTTGAAAAGAGGGAGGCCTTCTAATTACGACGGACCTACGGGGGAATACATCTATGTCAAATATGTCTTCATTCAATTCGGTAAAAACTTGCCTAAGGTTGTATTCACTTTCTTTTCCTTTTTTGTTTTAATATGTTGCCAGTGCTAATTTATGCATTCGGTTCTTATCTTTTTTGAAGTATAAACAAAGAGGATACCATCCCTCTGTGGAAAAAGAAATGCCTTCTGCCAATGATGAGGATGCTGTTGCAGATGTAATGGAGCAGCATGATCAATTCATTGGTTCCATGCAGTCTCATTTATCTAAGTTACAGGTGATCCTAATCAAACTAAAAGTTATGATATGGAGTGTTTAGATGCTTTTTTTTTTCACTTCATAGTAAAATGTCGACATTGTTGAAGTTAACATAGAAGATTGCTGAACCTTGTTTATTACTGGTTATAGGTTGTGCATCGATACTGGGAAAGGAATGACATAAAGGGTGCAATCAGTGCAATGGAAAAGATGGCTGATCATGCTGTAAGAACTTTCAAGTTTGTCAATCCATGCACCTTGGTTTGAACTTTCGTGTAACTCGAACATATTGAAGTGCTACTTGCATTTTGTTTTTGGGTGATCGGAATTGCAGGTGCTTGCTGATGTGTTGAGCATTGTCACTGAGAAAATAGACATTGTCACATTGGACATAGGCACTTGTCTTCTTCCCCTTCTGTCGAGTTTCCTTGGAAGTGAGATGGATAGGTAAAAACAGTGTCATAATCTAGCATTTTTGTTGTCTCTTAGCCTGGGACTTTTGCTCTCAAATTGTTCTGGAAACATCAATTGCTTTCAGTAGTTGTTTCTCTGGTTCATTGTAGCTACCAAAAGAGTAGATTTTGGTATTTAACTGCAGCCCTTATGTAGGCATTTGAGCATCAGTCTCGACGTCCTGCTTAAGCTGGTCAGATTATTTGGTTCAATGATATATTCGGCATTATCTGCTTCAACGCCTGTTGCTGTAGACATCGAGGCAGAGCAAAGGTCTGACTGCTTGCTTCGGAACTGCAAATTTAGTCTTCAAATATTCAGTTTTTGTATTATTAACCGAGATCATGCTGCTGGTTGCCCTAGGTTTGAACGTTGCAACCTCTGCTTTATAGAACTTGAAAAAGTAAAGCGCTGTCTGCCCAAGGTTACCAGGTGAGTATGGTGGTAATTTAAACCTGTAGTGAACCGCTATAGGGTTTAATCATCCGAAATATCCAATTTTTTTAATTAATTAATTTATTTTTTTGGTCCATAGAAGAGGGGGATCAGTGGCAAAATCTGCCCAGGAATTGAATCTAGCACTTCAAGAAGTGTCATAATGGGAACCAACGTGTAGATTCATACATGCATGCACTAGCTTATTCTGCGTGTTTTATGCTTTATATTCTTTTATTGCCATGGAGAGTAAGTTTTCAGCTGGTCAAACATCAACGACAACTTCCGTGCATATTGTCTTGTCCAGTCCTAATGCAGCTTGTAAATTTTATACTAAACGAAGGCGTTTAACTGATAGCTGATTCTACTACATTGTCAAGGCTGAAGCTCTAATTTGGGTTGCCAACATGCTGCTGGTTGCAGCACAGTTTTTTCCACTTTGCTCCTTTTGGCCTTTAACTATTTTTTTGTACTATAAAATTCAATATATACACGTGTGTTAAAAGCTGTGGAACAACATGAAAGAGAGCATGATTTAGCTGCTCGTATTTTCCGGGTGTTATCTGTGACACTGGCCGTTGTAAATGGGGTTTAAGGTGAGTCGGTGTTCACCCTACAATCCGATTTTTTTTTTAATAATAGTTCATTTTATTGATGTTCATCCTGAAATTTTACCTGTGTTCACTCTATAAGAAGGATTTTTGTTGTTAATGTATATGTACCCAATTTAAAAAATATTTTTGGATCCGTAATTGTGAAATTCATTCTTTAAGATCGAAAGAAAATGAAAGAGAGAAATCTCCACCTTGAAGCTGCTCAAACACCACAATGCGGTTCCATGAGGTATTATTTACTGTTTAATCATGTTCCAATTCCTTGCATTAATAGACTAAATTGCTACAATTAGAATATAGGGGCTAAATTTTGTATGTCTTAAGAGTAGAGGGACTAGGTGCAAACTAGACCTATTATTGTTAATAATGTGCTTTTCTTTTGTTGCCAAGTAATTGTTATTATCCACTAAACAAATGTTTTAAGCATAATACTGATGCTTAGTTATCTGGGTGGTCATGATAAAGATTTAAAGTTGAAATATATACTTCATCTAAGAATGGAAAATGATGTTCATCCGGTTTTCATTTTTCGTACTTGTAGAATTTGTTCCCTATACTCTTAGCTACAAGAATCGAGTTACTCGGCTTGGGTTAAATTTGAATATCTGTTATCAATTAGACTAGACTATATTGTTAAATTAAACAAATATAAGATTAAATTTCGAAAGTCCAGAGAGTACAGAGATTGCATGCATTTTTATACAAAAAATGTATGGTTCAAAAGTTCTGAACTAGTTGCCGCCTCACCCGTAAGATTGTTTTGTTTCATATCATATATATATATATATATATATTGATGTGTAGGATTATTATGCTTCTGAACGTGAAGTGGGTGTCACAGTGAATTGGGACCATAAATCTGGTTTGGTGTTACTCATATGGGGACCATTTCGGGGCAATATAGGCCTTGCCGGCCACATCATTCGAATCCCACGTGTTACAACTTGTAGAAATTTATGTCAAGGGAAAGAGTGCAAAACTGCAAATGGATATCATCTAGTACTCGGAACATGATAAGAAGGATACTTGATCCAAATACAAGGATAACAATGACAGAAATAAAATATGATAGAATTGTTCAATCAAGACTATACTTTGTTATACAGGTGTTCAAATGGTTAATTTGGCCACTGACCAAATCGAAATTTTATTAATTGAATTAATCGATTTTTTTCTTTAACGGTTAGCCGAATCAATTTTTTTTAATATTAACCGAATCGAATAAAGTTTGGCTATTTAGATCAATTAACAAATTAACCAATTTTTTTTATTTTTTTAATTAGATTAATTTGAATATAATAGAAGTATTTTATATTTGGGTTAAAATTTAATTAGGTATTAATAATTTAATGAGTTTAGTGTGATTAAAAAATAATTGAGTTTTAATTCTTAATGAGCTTTAGCTTAAAATATATATATAATATTTAATATTCAATAATTCGGTTAATTCATCGAATCGAATTAACCATTAACCGAATTTTAAAAAAAATATTAATCGTTCCTTGATCAAATTAATCGATCTAATTCGATTCGATCAATTAATTCGATTAAAACCGAACAGTGAACGCCCCTAGTACCCGAGTATGAAGCTTTGTCAATGTCTAAAGTGGTATGAGCTTCTCAAAAATTGCGTCTGTAATTAGTTCTTCGCTTGGAAGTTTCAAACGTATTGATAGAAGTATTATTCTTATAAAGACATATGATAAAAGTACAAGTCCTTATATTCTTTTAAGTGAGTCAAATGAGTGATCAAAATGTATCACATCAGATTGTCATGACTGAGGTAATGTTGTTAACAGCCGAATAATCGATTTGTTATATAACGAAAATGTTAGTGACTGTTTAGTTATTTGTGAACTTTTAATGCTGAAAAAGAAATTTATTCTTACTTCAGCTACCATTTGTTTGGTTTACCCATAAAATAAATGGTATATATTCCTATAATAAAGCCTTAATCTTCGTTGCGGATTTGGATAAGCAAGATCATGGCTTCGCCTAGCGCGCTTCGCGTGTTTCCCTCCTCACCACTACCACCTCCACACCATTCCCGTCTTCTCTTCTCCTCCCATATCCACCTCTGTAAAACTCCGCCGCCGTCATTTCCTTTCAACAAAAACCGTTTCTCCCCTTTCCCCATTCAAGATCAACGCCCCACTTTTATCCCCGCTGCCGTACCCGACTCCTCAGACACCCAAACCTCCGCTGATTCTGTTGCCGCCGATGATAATTTCAACGATTCGGGGGTCATCCTATCGGCTTGTTTGGTCGGTGTCTCTACGGGAATCGCCGTCGTTTTGTTCAACAACGGCGTGCATGAGATTCGCGACTTTTTTTGGGATGGAATTCCTTCTAGAGGTGCTTCCTGGTTGCGAGAGGAGCCTCTCGACTCCGTTTGGGTGCGTGTCATTTCTGTGCCTGCTTGTGGCGGTTTAATCGTCAGCGTCTTGAACGCAGCTAGGAACGCGGTATCGGAAGCTAGTTTTAGCGCCAAAGGAGCGTTGGGTTCGGTTTTGAAAGTTTTAGCGGCCTGTTTCACTCTGGGGACTGGTAATTCCTTGGGACCCGAAGGTCCAAGCGTCGAGATTGGTTCCTCCATTGCTAAAGAAATCCATTCTAGTTTGGATAAAAATCCTCAAACCAAGCTCTCCCTCTTGGCTGCCGGATCAGCTGCTGGAATCTCATCCGGTTCGTTTTCGAATTTTAAACAGTAATATTTTGGAATTGGATCTCTTTAACTAATTTACTTCTTATATGCATCTTCAGGTTTCAATGCGGCCGTCGCGGGTTGCTTTTTCGCCGTCGAGTCGGTTTTATGGCCGTCATCGCCGGCGGATTCATCAGTGTCACTTACCAATACAACTTCAACGGTAATTCTCAGCGCAGTTATAGCTTCCGTGATCTCTGAAATCGGTCTTGGTTCTGAACCAGCCTTCAAGGTTCCTGAGTATGATTTCCGGTCTTATGGTGGTAAATTTCATAAATTATATTCTCCATTTGAAACTATTCTTCATGTTTCTCATGCTAACAGGATCAAACCCTTTTTAACCTTCATTTCAGAACTTCCACTTTATCTTTTGCTGGGTATTCTTTGTGGTTTGGTTTCGTTGGCTTTTTCCAATTTGACATCTTACTTATTGGGTGTTGTGGACAATCTTAACAAGGATATTGGTATACCACAGCCCGTGTTTCCTGTAGTCGGGGGACTAACAGTTGGTGTAATAGCCTTGGCATATCCTGAAATTCTGTACTGGGGTTTTGAGAATGTTGATATCTTGTTAGAATCTCGACCCTTTGTGAAAGGCCTTCCGGGGGATCTCTTGTTTCAACTGGTGGCAGTCAAGATTATTGCAACTTCTTTGTGCCGGGCCTTCGGGTTAGTAGGAGGATATTATGCCCCTTCACTTTTTATTGGTGCAGCAACTGGGATGGCATATGGGAAATTCATTAGTTTTGCTATTGCTCAGTCTGATTCAGCCATTCACCTTTCAATCTTGGAAGTGGCCTCGCCACAAGCATATGGCCTGGTAATTTTCTTTCAATAGTGATTTGATGATTTTTGTTTGTAAATGCGTATATCAAATTTTAATGTAGTGTTTTTTGTCAAGGACTTTCTGTGCTGTTGTTTGTGCTTTTCTATTCATTTATATTTTATTCGTAACATGGATACCATTAAGGATGCTTTAATTTTCAAAAGTAAGTTTACTAAGAAATTTCCTTATAGCTCAGAGTCTCAGACTGATAATGTAGGAAATAGTAACAAAGGAAAATAAGTGGGGTGAACACATGGAAAATTGTCATCACGTATGTATGAAAAAGGTTGAATGATAAAACATTAGTGAAGATTAGCTGGGTCAGAGTACATCTTAGGATGCTAATCAAATCCATTAATACTTGAGTAACTTATTATAGATGATGTTATTGTGCATCTTTGTTTGTGATATATACGCTGTGGAAGTTCCCAAAAAATTTAATCAAGTTGAGACTCGATAATGATTCTCAGAAATGATTAAAAGATGTTTAAATTGAGATGAACTGCAGATACTGGCATGAAAAATTGCAAAAGAACACTTTTCCTAGAAATATCAGGATATTGAGATTATGTTCACTAATCTTGTACATCAAAGTAAAACAATACAACATGATGTGCATGACCATTATGGAGTGTCATTTGCAGGTTGGCATGGCGGCAACCCTTGCAGGGGTCTGTCAGGTACCTCTCACCGCGGTTCTACTTCTTTTTGAGTTGACTCAGGACTATCGGATTGTTTTGCCTTTATTAGGAGCTGTTGGGCTTTCTTCTTGGGTTACATCTGGACGGATGAAAAGAAAGGATATTAAAGGGACCAAAGCACTTGAAGACAGAAACGCTAGTACAAATCAGCAGCCTGAAGTGTCAGATAATACAACTAATGTATCTTCTAATGAAGCATCAGCTTATTTCAACAATCTATGTGAAGTTGAAAGTTCACTCTGCATTAATGATGCCAGTATTAAAACCGATGATTTAGAGAAGAGAATTTTTGTTTCTGAAGCCATGAGGACAAGATTTGTGACAGTTACGATGAGTACTTTAATTACAGAAGTAGTGACTCTTATGCTTGCTGAAAAGCAGTCTTGTGCAGTAATTGTTGACAATGACAACCTTTTAATGGGTTTATTGACACTTTCTGATATTCAAGAGTTTAGCGAATTCACAAAAGACAAAAGCTTAGACTCCAAGGTATGGTGCAAGCTTTACAGATTTTAGTTCAGGTATTCATGAATCAAATGCTTTAACCATGTTGCAATTCAAAGGCCTATGGAAGAAGAGGAAAAACAAAGAAAGATTTAGGATCTCATGGAAAATAAGGATGGACGAAGTGATGAAAACCGAGATATGTTTCTTCTTACTAAAACACTAAACTAGTTCCCATTAAAACTCAAAATATATTAAAATGAACTTGGATATAGGATTTTATCTTTACGGGTATTCTTTCTTCGGGGTACAATAGTAGAACTGGAAGTTAAATCTCCATCCCTAGTCACACCACCAGCACGTCCCAACTGCTTCAGTTAATCCCAAAGGTCATCTCAGTCAATTAATATATTACTATATCTTGAAATTACCATCTTAGTTGTACATCCATACCAAAGATGTGTTAAAGTCACACTGTTTTCTAATCTGAAACCAGATGATTCCATTTCATTTATATGATTCTCACACACTTATTTCCATGCACTGAAGTTGCAACCTTTCAATCTTTGACTAATTAATATCCTTGCTACAGGTGCTTTTGGTATCTGAAATATGTTCATTGGATAATGCAAAATGTAAAGTCCCATGGACAGCTACTCCTACTATGGATATTCTATCTGCTGAAATGATAATGAGTAAACATGGCCTGAATCAAGTTCCAGTTATATTAGAGCATGTAAAAGGCTGTCGAGGACAGCCAATTGGCCTCCTCGACAGAGAATGTATCAATCTAACTTGCAGGTTTGTAACTAAATCTTTGGTCTTTTTTGGGTCTCTTTTAATTATTTCATTATTTATCATGGTAGTGCGCTGACCCTTTAATAGGCTAAACATAGACCTGTTTATAAAGTAGCCTTTTTTTCCCGTGGTTTGGCTTCTGGAAATGATATATACAGTTGTATCTTAAATAACAGAGCAGAAGAAGTAGAGATTTGTGGGTTTTAATTTTATATTGAGATGTAAAAGTAATCATGCGTGACAAAATCAAACTCTTAAAGGACCGTAGTTAAAATTGGGGTTTTAAATATATGTTTCCACTTTCAATTTCTTTCATGTAGGCCTGGTTTTCGTTTCTCCGAGTGTATATGCCTTTTATTGACTAATGGATGGGGTTATATATATATATTTTTTTTGTTTTGCCAGAGCCGTAGCTACAAGAGAATCTCTTGATTTTGACACAGTAAAGTCGATCGAGAAATGAGGATGAAGCCTGCCCTCGTACTTGATATAGAGTGATTGACACGACAGAGTCTGTTGTACTCTGATTTCAATATTTGGTGATCCCACCAATTCAGCCATGAAGAAGGGAATTGGCTCTGGTCAGTGTCCTTAACTAGCCCCATCTGTTGCAGGGAAGCTAAATCACGCACCAGATAAAACATTGGGAGCTGATATATGCTCCCAATTTTCATATGTATTGATAGACAAACTGGAAGGGTTCTGTTGTGCTTCTTTTTCTTCAAGCTGGGAGATATTTATAACTGGTCAATATTTCAAAGTCCCAAAGGTCGAAAATTTAGCAGGCTGTTGCCACCAACGAACAGGAAAAAGAAGAATTGTTCAAATATGAGTCTTACATCAGGTATCAGTTTCTTTTGAAAATATTCTCTTACGTTATAGTTATTCACTTGTTTAGGCAGTCATACTACAACAGGTATATACTTGGTCTTGCTTATAACATTTATCAAATGACTTGAGCAAATCACCACCGGGAAAAATTCCGGCATGATGTTCCAAGTGCATATGATGTGTACCATTTGAGAGGATACTAAACATCCAATTTTGTGACAAATAATGCTTCCATTTTACTGTGTCCAACAGCATGAGTATCAATCACACTGTAAATGCACAATGATCAAGACATTTGAAGTTTACTGAGTGAAAATATCTTTGAACTCTTGATGCGTGCTGAAGCATTTAGCGATTCTCAAATAACTTGTTACGTATGTGTTCTGCTACAAGTTAGTAGCCATGACATCGGTTTTGTACTCCTGAAATTTTATAAACTAAAAATGTGTCGCATGTACAATGCATAGTGACGGGTGGTATGAATACTCGAGTTCATGAAAATGTAAACGAAGAGAGATCTAAGACTAAGATATTCGTAATAATTCTGTTGAGTCATGAACTCCCATTCCAAGTGCCTAGCCTGCCTGGTCTGATTGACATCGTTATAAATGACTACCTTAGTTGAACACAAATGTCTTGAAAACATGGCTAATAAAGATAGCAGTGGCCAATTCAATCTCGAACAATCAGTATGTACATATATTAAATAAAAGAGTTAATTGCTAATGTGTTTCCAAATTATAATCCTCATTTTAAGTTGGTTTTTAAACTTTTGAATATTTTAATTTCATCCCAAACTGTGACTCTAAATTATGACCCTCTTTCTAAATTGATCTATGAACTTTTTGAACATTCCAATTTCATCCCAAATTCATCCAAATATATAATCATTTTCAACTATAATTTAACCTAAATTTTGTACTTTTTCAAATATATAATAATATAACTTGATCTAACGATTTTATTAACAAGAGATGTAATTAGTATATGTGTATAGTTTGAGATGAAATTTGAATTTTCAAAAAGTTTGGGGACCAATTTAGAGTGACGGTCATAGTTTGTGAATGAAATTGAAATGTTCAAAAGTTTGAGGAAAAATTTAGAAAGATAATCATAGTTTAGGGATAAATTTATAATATTTCAAAGTTTAAGGATCAAATTAAAATGAGTCATACTTTGAGGATATATGAAACAATTAACTCTAAATAAAATAGAAAGTACTGAATATATCATCTATAAAGTGATGTGTAGGTCATTCATTTTCTACTTAATCTTTACCACACTAATACAAAAAGTTAAATTTGGAAACGTGTTTAAAAGTGACGTGATAGGATTTGAACTTAGTCTAATAAGTTCAAATTATTAAATCTCAATCACTTATACCAACACTCGTACTAATTATTAAATAATCACTAATTATTAATTTTTCAATACTTTATTAAACATGTCCTAAACCTCAAACAATTCTTATCCCTTAATATTTATTTATACAATAAGTATTTATTAATTAAATAAACTTAATCACTGATAAATCTTTGATACAAATTAAATATCGATTAGAAATAGCATTAATATCTTAACACAACAACAAATGACGTTTAAAGCTCACAAGAATCAAGTGGCTTACCTTCTTCAGCCTCAAGTCACAACTGCTTAATCAATGCCTTAGTGTTCATTAATCTGTTTGGTTCTATCTGTGCATGCCTGCATGGGGCAGCAAATGAGAAGAAATTAGCACACCTGTGGAGTTGTTGAAGGCCGACCTATTGGAAGGGGGCAGATTCGACGATGCGATCATGGGGTGCGAAGGCGCCATCCACATCGCTTCCTCGTCATCAAACCTTCATTTGATCCCAAGACATGTTCTCAATGCCACTAATAGAACAGACAGGTGCTGAAACCAAACATTTCTTCACAAAAGATTTCTTGTAATATTCCATTATCAAGACCGGTTCACAAAGGTATTGTTCCATACGGACAGGGAAACCGAGCAGTTTCAGGGGCATGGGCGGATGGGATATGTTCACATCGATGACGTTGCACTTTGTTACATCCTTGTCTACAAGCACGATGCCACGAATGGTCGATACCTTTGCAGTTCAACCGTGATGGACAACGAAGAGCGTGTTATCGGATCGTTATCCATCACTCCCTGTCCCGAAGAGGTTTGCGCAACAGGATAGACCGTGAAAGAAGATTAGGGTTCAAGTTAGGCCTATTGAGGAAATATAGTACATACCCCCAGAAAAACAAAATTCATTGTAGTACTAGTTAAAATTTTAGATTTATAAGATAGATCACCCCACAAGTGAGTATAAGAATGTAACACCAAAACTTTTGGATACAATATGGAAAGTTAGAGATGAACTACAATTAGATTTAAATTTTAAGAATAAGCAAACATCAACATAATCATATTTTATTAAGTTGTCCTAGTTATATTTGTAATTTTATTGAATTATTAGTTTATAACATTGAAGGGACCATAAAATTATATAAGGGTTTTCTAGAAAATTATATCTTATTGATTATCGAAATTATTAATTTAAACTTTAGGCCTAAGTTGAGATTGAGAAAAATTATTATTTTAGAAATATTATTAATTTATCGAGTATTAATTTATAGATGTTCTACTGTAAAATAAATTGAAACCTTATATGTTTATTATCCTACTATTGTTTTCCCCTTGATATTTAGGGTTTAGTATTAAATATGTTAATATACCAAGGAAACCCTCAAATTCAAACTCTATTTTTAAATAAATCCTCATATTTATTTTTTAGTTTAATAAACTCTTAATCAATTAATTTTACCTATTAAATCCCTTAATTTAACTGATAATTTATGTTTATATAAAGGATGGCGTGACAAAATAAATCATACAATTTTTATTAATTTATATTGTTACACATGTCACGATTGTATTAGTTTTAAAGATATAATCTAAATCCCTAATTAAATATAAAATTAAAACTCTTTTAATCTTGCCAACGAGTGTCGGCATAAGTAGTTGAGATTCATGAATTTGAGCTTCTAAGGCCAAGTTTAAATTCGTAATTCTTGGTGGACAAGTCACTCTTGGTAGGCAATTTGTAAAGTCCTGTGTGAATCCCAATTCGGTCTTAGTCCTGTGTAAATCTGAATTAGGTCTTAGATATGTCATGACCATAGTTACATAAATCGCTCAATAGCCCACGATATACGTACTATATGCTGCGATCCAAAACGCGGTACGAACGCATTCTAGGTCATTTCAAAATCGCGATTCGGTACGAAAGCTTATACGATCCAAAATTGACCATCTAATCGACCCAGTTGATGTTCAAATCGCGATTTGAAGCCATCGATTCATCGTTCCGGACAATAAAAAACACGAACAAACAACCAATTGTCATCATTCGTTCCGGACAATAAAAAACACGAACAAACAACCAATTTCATCAATTCGGCTGTTCAATTCCATCCATACTCTGACGCGGGAAAAAACGACGTTGACCGGCCCTTGGATTTCTATTCACACTTCACGACTGAGAAGATTCAGTTACTGAATGAAATCTATAGTATTGAAGTTACTTTAAGATATTTGAAGTCTTGAAGTACTTATATGGTCATGACCGTCCTTGACCTAAACTTTTTTTGTAAAAAAAAAAGTCACTTTTAATCTTACCTTTTGGTACGCCGATTTTTCTGCCTCTATGTGGCACGATTTCTGGTCTCGCCAATTGTTTAGTTTTGCTAGTTGTGTTTATTCCTTGCTTGTCTTGGGGTTCGGTTGTGGTGGGATCATGGGTGATTTGGATCAAGAGTTGGGTGATTTGAATTTGTGAGAGGAAGAGGAAACTGTATTAGTTTTGGAGCAGACAGAGAATTCATCACCGATTTCTTTTGATAATTGTTTGGTTGGACGTTTTCTCTCGGCTACTATGATCAATTTTCAAGTGATGCAGATTACTTTGGCGAATGTTTGGCTTCCAATTGGGGGCATCTTTATTACTGAGTTGGGAGATGGGTGGTTCCTGTTTCGGCATATTCCTAGCAAGATGACCTTAATCAGTATGAATTGAAGGAGATGGTAGAATGATTCTCTTGAAAATATCAAATCATCATATAATTTAAATAATTTTTTATATTAATAATTTATTTTTATTCTTAAATTTTTATAAATTTATTCCCTTCAAATTTTTAAAAATTTATCCCCTCTAATACAAAATCCTACATCGATCCTTATCCTCGACCTGAAACACTTTCAGACTTTATAGTTACATGTAAAACAAAGCAATTCAGTAAGCATGTTGTTAATTTACTCTTATGGAGTTGTATTATTTGGATAAAATACCAGCCACCACAGCACCAATTATAGATGTAGGATCACCAAGAACGGCGGAGACAATTAGCCTAACAGCCCCACCAGCAATCTTACAATATTTCTCCGCCTTTCGCCCTCTTCCACCGTTGTGGTTTTTCAATGTCCCGCCGAGGCTCGGGATCCTGGTCTGCAACTCTCGAACCCTGTTCTTGTCACCATTCAAATACCTGGCTTCCCAACTCTCAACCAACAACTTCTTAACACACGACACATGAAGATTATAACCCTTGCATTGTGACCTATAAGACCAGCCACTCCCTTTGTCGCCACACTGATGGCAGAAGCTCGATACCTTGAGACACAAGTAAAGATTATGTTCCCCGTCATCCAACACTCGGGGGAGGTTCACACAACAAGGATGGAGATCGAAATCGCATCGTCTGCAGTGGTAGACAAACCCTGTAACGTCGTTCCGACACGCATCGCAGATCCTCATACGTTGTCCGGGGGGGCTATAGAAGAATTGGAACTCGCAGTTTTTATAAAACGGGTGAGTGATGGCCAGAAAGGGCTTGGCGCAGGCCTTGTGTAAGTCGAAATCGCAATGCCGGCAACTGTATTTGAGGCCGATGCCGGCGTCCTTACAGCCATCGCAATTGAACGGTATCTCGGTGTATTCGAGCTTGAGTTTGTGGAGTGGATGGAAGGGGTTTGAGATTCCTTCGTCGATCTTCATTGGATTGTTTTTTATGATACTTGAATGAGTTGTAAGGACGACAGGCATTGCTTATATACATGGAGGTGCAGGAGTTGATGCTTAGCTTGAGTTCCACTAGCTGAGAATATAACTACGTGTAGCTGATGCAATTGATCCATTTGGGTTCAATTATCTTTAAACTTTGAATGTAAATATCAATGATTTTAGATACAGAGTTTATGAGGATTGAAAAGATGAAACATAAGATAATGATGATTTCTTCTTGTACTTTTCTGAATGCATGAATGAATCGAGAGAAGGGTCAATGGAGAAGTTTATAATTATAGTAACTATTCCTCTTACTCTTCCAAGAGAATAAAGGAATCAGTGTTCGGTGGATTGAGCTGAACTCAACTATGAGGACTTCCATGTATCATAATTTGTCCTGTAATGTTTATCTTGAAATAAAATATATAAAACTGATTACGAAACATTAAGAGAGAGTGTTTTTAGAAAAAAATAAGAATAAAAATGATTATTTTGTTATACTGATTTTATTAAAATACCTATTTAAAAGCTATTCAGAATTCAACAAATTAAAATAAAAAGTAGCGGCGTGGCTTATTTCGGATGCCATATCTCAGCTCTTCGAAACCTACTTGATTACCCGAACAGCATATATTTGTGTCGGCCAAAGCCGAATCCCGTGTAACAATTTCATATTTTTAGCCTTGTCTTGCCTGATCGGAAATAAGGTTAATTTAATATCTTTTTCTATGTAAAACCAAACTGTAAGTTTAGTGGTAAAGTACTTGCATTGATTTTGAACCTAGATAATATTTTCTCTAATAATAATATGTAATCTACTATAAAATAAAAATCTCCATGCATAGAGATGAATCAGAAGGACTGCTGCGATATAGTTATACCTGTAAAATTTTTAAATATTAATATAATTTAAATGTTTTTTTATTTATAATCTAATTTTACACATTCTAAAATTTTGTAAGTCCGTACTCTTAACATAAAATTTACCATAAGAATGATATTAATACCAAAGTACATAAATAACATATCTAAACTCGGAAATCCATTCAAACTCGACTCAAATCACCACTTTTGATATCCAACAGGCCCGTAACTGAGTCTAGACAAGAGGGCACCTGTCCAAAGTGCCCTCTTACCTAGACCCAAAATTATAAGGCATGTTTACCAAAAATTTAACAACAAAAAATTACCTACCGAAATAGCACCATTTTCCCAATATTTACCGAAACGTCACCCTTTTGTATTATGTGACAACAAGGCACCGTTTATAGGACATGTTTTATGCACATGGCATCTGACTTAGCAAAAACATGTTTTGCAGGAAGTGTCTTATGTTGATTTGGAAGTTTGGAAGACACATTCTACATAATGCACCTTTACGTTTTATATTTAAAAAATAAAATATTTGAGAAAACTAAATTTAACATAATTAAATATTTACAAAATAATAAATAGAATATAATACAAAAAATAGAATATAAAAAATAAATATATAAATAAACAATATTCAATTAAAACATAAAAACTAAATACAAAAAATATAACATTCAACTAAAAAAACATAATATAAAAACTAATGATGTCTTCTTCGTGAATACATTCCGCAAGACGGTGGTTGTCTAATTCGAGCAAAATTTCTTCATTTAGGTTGTTCTTCCTCTTTCTCTTCAATCTCATAATCTTCATCGACACCATCTTTCTCTTGTTTGGTTAGAGTCGGTGTCGAAGAAAGACCTCCATGGAATAAAAAATCTGGAGGTATATGATAAACAATCCTATCGCTTACTGAGAATTGCGAAAATTATGAAAAGAATGACACCAATGACTGGGATGCATACAGTGGTGGTGTTGGTGGAGGAGCACTACCCACCAGATACGATGCATATGAAGCAAATTTCGGGTCCATAGGCGTATAATATTATCTAGGGGTCTCGGCATGTAAATCGATAGGCTCAGAATATAGTCATGCGGGCTCAAAATCGATCCAGATAATGGGTGTTGTGGTGTTTTCGGTAGCGCTGTTGAAGATAGGCCAGAAGTGTATTCTCTTCATCCACGATTAGTCAGGAGATGATGATATTGTGTCGGTGGACGTTTTTCTCAAAGACGATGAATAGATTTGGTTGCCTCGTGTGTCCTTAAAAAGTGTGAATGACTTATCATTTTTGTTGAAATATGAAATATATTCAGGTGAACCGTGAAATCAATTTTCGAACTATAATGATGAATGAGAATGTGTTCATACCAATGCTACCATAACGCTATCCACTCGTTCTTCTACTCCCTCTAATTAACAACACGATTGCCTCATTTGTCAAGTTTATGCATATTGTTGAGATCACAGATGCTTTAGGAATGAGCTGTGTGAAACCAAACTGGTGAAGCACACGGTCACTCGGATGCCACTCAATAATAGCATGATAGATAAGAGACACAACTGCAAGTCGTACATCCAATGGATCACTCAAGTCAAGTGGGATGCAAGCCCTTATTTCTTCATTCATATAGGGCATCCATTGGAACTGCAAAAACATATATTTATTATCAAAATTTTAAATGAGATTCTAATTATAACGATGATTAAATAAAAAAATAATTAAAAGAGTATCTCTGAACTTGATTTTTGCTTGATTCACAATTTGATATTTTGCAATTCATCAAGGATATCACGATGTTTTTAAATGATGACTATCTATTTGATATAAAAAAATATTTTAATTAATTATATAATAAAAAATATTTATGAATAAATTAAATATTAAAATATTACGAGTAAGAAAGGGAAGATAAATGGCTCGTTCACGATTAGACATAAAAAAAGGTATGCGATGCCACACCCAAGATTACAAAAGAATGAGACAACTGCCAATACCATTTTTGAAATATTTCATTACTCGACACATTTTTCTAAAGAGAAATGCTAAAATTGTCAATCCCCAACTGAATGTGTCTGCTTCTTCAAAAGTAACGAGATGATGCAACCACACGACATGTATTTGATTGTAAGATTTGTCGGGCATCATGATCCCTCTAATGATTTGTAAAATACATGCCCAAACAATTTTTTTTGCCTCATCTTCAGAACAATTTTCGTCTACATCTAGAAAATTAGTTTGAAGCCATGTTAACGAGATTTGGCCACCATTGAATGAATTCGACGACTTTCATATATACTGGAGGCACAAACCTTTCCAATCACAACCTACCACATTAGTAAGAACACGACCATCTATTGGAAGTCCCAACTATATTGAAACATCTTCCAGAGTAATAGTGTACTCCCCACATGGAAGATAGAATGTGTGTGTCTCTGAACTTCACCTCTCGATAAGTGCAAAAACAAGAGGTGTTCAAGTTCACAGTCTCCAATTATTTATGATACGTACCTAAATCCAACTTCAGTTAAATACCTCTAAATATGAGTCGGAGTGGTTATCTTAGTGTTATGAATAAACACTTCCAATAACCATTTTCCTAATTGATAAAAAACAAAATATTAAAATTTGAAATATTCAATAAAACAAAAAAAATAAATAAACATAATTAATTATTTTTATCATATTCACTATATTAGGCTAAATATGACTTTCATCCATTCGTAGCATGTCTTCTTCTTTTTTTAACTAGATGTGTGCAAAAAGATCTGATCCGATCGATTCAATCCATTGATCCATTTATCCAATCTAAAAATTTGGATATCCGATATGTTTTTTGATTTTTGGATAATTTGGATTAGTTAAAAAAAAACAGATAATCGGATCGATACAGATCAGATAAATTCTAATTTTGGATTATTCGAAAATCCAAAAAAAAATTATACATTTTAACACGATAAATGAGTAACTCACAAACCCATTAAAGCATAATCCAATAAAAATTAGGATATTTAATTATTTGTTGCATGTGAGTAATTATATATATATATATATATAGTTGAGGTATCAAATAAGTTACATTAATTCACAAAATATAAGATTTAAAATTATTGTTTTATCAAATTAAATTTTATATTCGGATATGGATAACCAGATATTCGATACAAAAATTCAGATATCTAAAGATTCAAATATTCAATTTTTCAGATCGAATAAGGATCACTATTTAAGGTATTCAAAATTTTGGATCAGATTCGATCCGATATCTGAATTTGTATACCTCTATTTTTAACTGCACACGTTTTAAAAATAGTAACTGAAATTAAGTAAAAAAAATTAAATATATTTATTAAAAAATAAAAACTTCCTTAAATCAGATGTTCTGAACCCAATAGAAAGAAATAAGAGAGAAAGTAAATGTTTTAGTTTTTGGTGTGATTTGTAAAATGAGAGGTGGTTTATATAGGGGTTGAGGGAGAGAGAAAGACTGGAAACGGGGAGAGAAGGATGTGGGAAGCAATAGGACGGGAAAAGAACCCAACAAAGCGCATTTTGTAGGAAGTACGGAAGGCATTTCATAATTCGGAGGTCTCCTACGGAAGATGCTCTCAACCTGACGTTGGGGACAACCTACTATCCTACCTCCCTTACCGCATTACATATGAGAATAAAGTCAGCTAATTTTTATCTTTGTTAGGTCAGCCTAAAGCGTGCTCTACAGGAAGTGCTTCCCACATGACTAGCCAGATCAACATAAGGTGTGTTCTGTACAAAGTGTATTTGTTGCGTGGGATTGACACATGGTCAATGTAAGAAAGGGTGACATTTTGGTAAATATTGATCTAAGGGTGCTATTTTGATAAATACTAATTTTTGGGGGTGATTATTAGGTCAAAATTTTAAATTATAAAGTTTATATAATTAAAGGTAAACTACATAAATGATCACTAATGCTGGAGAAAATTTTCATTTTTTTCACTTAAGTTTTAAAACTAACAAATTAATCACTAACGTTATCAATTTATAACAAACCGATAACTAATGTTATCGATTTATAATAAACTGATTACTCGCCGTTAATATGGGTGAGAGAATGCTAATGTGGCACATTATAACCAA